GTTTGTCTGTCTACACCCAACTTAAAAATTAAATATAAAGAGTCTAATATACTTCTGTATGAAGTTACCTATAAGGAGAAAAATGCATTTCAATAGTAAAAAACCTCTAGTCTAAACCAATCCCATTCTCATCCTTTCTCTCTTCCCCGATTACCCTTGTCTCTCACAAGAGATTTTTCAATGTGACCGAAACATGGGGTGATACACCATGTATCACTATACAAATGGTAGGATATGTGTGTTAAAAAGTTAATAACTTAAAAAATACAATTTCTCATCACTTATATAAAAACATGTAGTGTACCATCCGTGTTCTGATCACAATAAAGAATTTCTTGTGTCTCACATTTCCCTCTTTTCGGTTTCTTCATCTTTTCTTTTAAAAATTGAACATAAGTGTGCAGATCGTGTGGGACTATTGGTGTTGGAAAAATATGTGTGGGTTATTATTATTATTTTTTATTTTAATTTTTTGTTATTGTTTTTCCATCATTGTTGGCAATCAGACTGAAGAGATAGAAAGAGAGGGACGCCGCAGGGAGTTCGGCAGAATCAGGGAAGTAGTGGCAATAAGTTTTTTTAACTTTTACCCTGTTCGGAAAAAAATGGTGGATGTATGATGAAACTAGAGTAATGCCAAGTAAACTAAATTTGTAAACTAAGTTTGCAAACTAAATGGTGTGTCACCAATAAAAAAATAAGTACATTAATCAAAACTTAAATAATAATTCAATCGTCTACTTTCATGTCATTTAGTTTACAAAATTTAGTCTACAAATTAAATTTCTCTAGCATTACCCAAAGAAATTAGAGGACCGTAATTATATTATGATGAGGGTATTCAGCCATAATCGTTGGATGTAAAAAGAAATAAAATAAAATATAGATGTAAGAGAAATTAGATGTAAAGAGACAAATTATAGGTTCAAATAAAATTCTCTTTTTTTTTTTCTTCTTCCAAGCACCTTGATCACTATAACTATGTACAATATGTAATTTTTATTGGGTTGGAGTAGTCTCTCTCCTTCAAATCCTCCTCTTCGTTTGTCCCGTTCTATTTACGATTAATAATCACATTAACATACTTCTTTGAAGAGAGAGACAAAAGTGAAAGTGAAAAAGAAAAAGAATGCGAGAAGAGAGAATCCTACTCCTTTTCGGTTATCCAAAAAAATAAAAAAAATATTTGATGCGTCAATGTCTATCACAAAAGACGTCATGTTTTCCATTTATCTATTTTTTACACAATTATGTTTACTCGTATTAAAACTTTGCCACCGTTACTCTTGTTTAAGGATAATAAATGTGTTCTTTGTTTTTATATAAAGTTCAAGAAAAATTAATAACATGTTCATAAACAAATAAAGGATTTACGCATGACACCTAACTACTAGCTACTATCGATATAAATTTACGTATGAATTTACATATTGCGCATCAACGAAAACTGCTGGCAACGAAGATCAAACTTGAATTGAAGGTTAGCCACAAGTACGCCCTTACCAACTAAACTAACTATCGTTAACAAATAAATATGGCAACTTGATTAGATTATAAGGGCTAGGGAAAATTTATACAAGATTTCGGGTGAGGTCAGTGTAACCCTACACGTAACAAACTTAAGAAAGTTTGTGCATTTGCATCAAACCTTTGCAGCTGTGCTAGACCTAGAGTTATTAGGGTACAAAAAAACGTTTGTACAAGTTAATAACAATATTTAAATACATCTTCACGACCTCAAGTGGTTTTAATCTTCTTAAACTCGTTTTGTTGTCTTGGATTTAGCTTGAATACTATAAACCATAGTATTGAAGAAATGTTGAATGAAGAGATTGGTACCCACCTGGATATTTTTGTGTCTAAATGAAGGTAGAAGATACAAATTTAACTAAGAGCGAGCACAAATCAAGTTGATTTGTTAAACTTGCTACAAAAACCCGAATTTTGTTGCTCTTTTCTCTAATACTTTCTTTACTTGTCATATTAATAATTTGAACACACATTTATACTAACAAAGATTTGCAACTCAACATGGTTTTAGACAAGCAAAAATAAGAGAAGGGACACTTAAAAATTCAATAAACATTTTGTAATACGTTAATAAAGAATAATACTAAAAGTTTCAAGTAAAAAGTTTGAGAGGGGGTAAGTGCTCCGTGGCCTTACGCTCCCTTTTATCCCTAATGTTTGTCCAATATATTAAGTTATCCGACCACTTAATACTACGATCTAGTGATATTCTTCTTCACATGTAAGTGAAAGTTCTTAGGTTCAATTCTCACCAAAAGCGAATTTGAACCACATTATTGTTAGCCCATTGTAAGGCTAGCCTACCTCCCCTTTAGTGTAAATATTATTGATTTTTATATATACATATACATTTATACATATATATATATATATTTAGTTATCCAATTGAAATTAATTTTTAACATTGTTAGAGACATTAATCTGGTCATTAATGCAATGGAAGTTTAGGCATATGCCATATACGATTTTGCAATTCACATGCGCAGGACGGATAAGAGATTTTTAGTATGTCAGAAACACGGTCCGATATTTAAATTTAATAATATTATTTGTCGGAAACACGGCTCCATGAAACAATGAACGCACATGCGGTGATAATCTGGTGTAGAAGCAGTGGAAGTCATAAGTGCTGGGCTCTCCAATTAGGCCCACTAACTGTGCAGAATTTATTTATCCCTGCTGGACTGGATTAGGTATTAGGTATTAGGTAAAGTCATAAGTATTGTGGGCCTCCCGCTTTTATTGTCCTTTTATTTTACTTCCGTACAATTTTATTTCATTGTTTTTTTTTCGAATACAAGGGAGGGACTTGGACTAAGTAAGACAACGAGTCACATATAATAATTTTTTTTGAGGATACAAAACGTTGTCCGCAATGGTTCTCAAGTGTACGGGTGATTGTAATTCTCCGTGATGTTAAGTGTATCAAAATATTAATAAGATAAACAAAGATGATAGAAGTGTTTTTCTTAAATTTCATTTGTTTATTTTACGTTGTATAAAATAAAACATAATAATTATAAAATTTTCAGTATGTATGATTTGACTTCTCACATGTTACGTCATTTCATTTCATCTTTTAAATTATAATTTGAAACACGTGCAAAAATGATTCATTATAACAACTGAAATAAAAGTTGTTGCAAAATATAGATGAGCAAGGACAATGATATTTTGTTTTAAAGGCTTATGAATCACGTGATAATGTAATGACAATTGCTTAGATCTGCATTCAAGTGGGAAGATCACACTAACAAGAGATTTTTCAATGTGTTGAGAACACGATTTGGTACATCAAGTATCAAATACAAGTGGTTGGATACTTGAAAAAAAACAATTTAACACTTTTATTATGACACTTAATATGCTGATGCGTGTTCTCAGCACAATAAAAAATTTCTTCACAATAACTTGTGGTTGTGAAAGGTAGAAGTCTCTATTATAGCATTTAAAGTGGGACAATGGGGTTAGAAATCTGTCACATTGACAAAATTTAAGACCGTTTCATTTTCACATATAGATCTGGATGAGAAGAGGAGAAGAGAGCCCCATTTTTCGCTCTATTCTTTCATGAAAATGTATCCAAATTTATCATTTACAAATACAACTTGTTTAACCAAGTATAGAATATCTTGTCGTAGCTAATTATTTGTGTTAAACAATTACTATGCGGTGGTCTAATTATTGGTGACAAATTTCAGACCCGTATTTTATATGGCACATCAAGAAGAGGTTGAAATGCTATAGTGAGTCTTCTTGAGCCCCAAAAATATGAACTATCGTGATAAAGCCACCAACTAGTCATTTTTAAAGAAAATATATTTGTGTTAACCATGTATGAATTGTCAATATTGTTCTTTAAACATTCAATAATTTGAGCAATAAATCCATAATTGAATGGACAAATAGTAATTAAACCATTTACCGTAAACTCTTTCCTTGATTATACTATTTTTTTTTTTTTTTTGTTATACTCCCCTTATATTTTGCAATGCCTTCAATCAAGTGAAGGTAACCAAGTGATTAATTGTCTTAGTGGTTAAAGTCTTCTCTTTAATTTACTGTGCCCGAATTCAAACCCTTCCCTTTTCTCTTAATTCAACGAGCCGTTTAACATTATTTTTTGTTGGGCTAAATATATTTGACACCATCAATGTTAGAAGTCATTTTTAAAATGAGTCACAAAGTTTTAATTTTTGTACAATACACCCCATCCTTTTGAAAGTTTTCAAATTTAGACCCCTTATTAGGATGATTGTATGGTCAATTATTAACAATCAAAGCATGCCCCACCCTCCAAACCCACTAACCAGACCACACAAAACTGCTCCTGCCCGGATTCAAATTTGAAGCTGGGTGTAGGTCGAACCTATCCAAACTGTACATCACCGCACCATACAATGATCAAATTGGTGATCCCTATTAATTAAACAAAAGAAATGGTGATCTGGATCAGGGCCGTTTGTTCCAAATTACCGGGCTAGCCCAATCTGCTATGATAGCCATGTTGGGTTGGGCCTGCGCAAGAATGAATTTGCTGTAGTAAATGATTCTGTTTTGGATGGTGAGAAATAATAATCTTCTTTTTTTAATACCAATCAGGTTAATCATTTCTGATATTTGTTGTTAATCAGCAAAAGAGAACAGAATTACATAATTCATTAATGGGAGACAATATAACAAAAACAAGTGTAATTTTTCAATGTGACGGGAATACTGTCTGGTATACTATGTGTCAAAATACAAGTAGTTGGATACTCGGAAAAAAAAATCCAACCACTTGTCTTATGACATTTGGTATACCAAACCGGTTTCCGACAGTACAAAATTTCTCCAAAAACAACAATGCAAGCAACAAATTAAATACTTGATTAACATAAGAAAACTTAATTTAGGTGTTTTTTTTTCAACTCTGCATTATTTGCACATGAAATCATTTGAGCACACCCGAAATATCTCTCTACGCACTCCTACTTCAGAAACTCGATCTTTATCTGACGGATAGTAATGGGTCGTTTGACATACTTTGGGACCAAGGTAACCTTAATATCGTCGTCACCATCAGCACCCAAGTCATCCTTCAAGTCTATTATCCCAAGTTGGAGGCTCGTTGTCACCGTCTTCTGCTTAGAGCATTACCAAAAGAAATGTCAAAATGTACAAATCAGCAATAACAATATTAAAAGACAGCAGTAATGTTTTCAAATCGAGAAGTCAAATCTGATATGGCATAACATGGAAATACATCTCTTTCCCTTGCTGCCAAATTTGACAATGCATTCATAAAAAATAAATAAATAAAAAATAATAATAATAATTATTATTATTAAATATTTTGTATTGATTTAAAGCATTGCCTTTTTGTTTATTTTCATATGCAATATTTCATTATTTTTATACATTTTTATTCATATTATTTCATTTCCAATGGAAAGAAAATAAATATAAATTTTTGTATTAGGTTGAAAATTTGGCATATCACAAAAAAAAAATTATATATATATATATTAGATATCAAAGTGCCTCATAAGCCTTCAAATGTAAATTTTAGGTTTGAAATTTAATACTCTTTTGAAGATGATCTTATGCAGCAAATACACCAAGCTCCCAGCGTACTCGGCCTTATTGGGTCGACTTAGGGCTTCCTCCTCGTCGTTCACGTGAACGTCGAACTTCACGACGTCGTCCGCTATGAACTTGATCCCCTGAACGCCAGCACCTCCTCTTCCTCTTCCACCTTGGTCCTCGATTTTTGGCTGCGGTACAATCACGTTGATTACAGAGTCTAGAGTGATCGGGAACTTGCTGAGTTCAACGACCATGCTTGGAGAAATCTGGGCAGTGCCCGGAATCCCCTATGATTTCGCTCATCTTTGATCCTTCGTATATTCCTAGGCCTCTGATGAGGAGGTCTCCCTTTGCATATGTAGTGGCTTGTATAATGATGCTTTGGATACGAAGGAAGTTTAGGTTACTTTTGACTCTTTAATTTGTGTTTGTATCTCAAGTTAACAATGCCATACATGTTAGTAATGCATGTCAATAAGTTAAAATATATAATACTATTTGATAAACTTGTGCAAATATTATCTTTTTGAGGTTATTTGATAACCATTTTGTTTTTCGTTTTTTTTTTAAATTGAATATTGAAATCTTGTTTGATAATTACTTTCAATTTTCAGTGTAAACAAATGAAAGATGAAAACTATTTACTTGAGTTTTTGGAATATGACCTTGAGTTTTCACTTTTCAATTAAAAAAAAAAAAAAAAAAACTGAAAACTAAAATCAGCTATCAAACAAAATTTTTAGCTTTCAAAAAACTAAAGATTGAAAATTAAAAAACAAAGTAGTTATCAAACGACCAATCTCTTTTGTACTCATGTCTCTTATGAGTCGTTGTACGCTAATATTCGTTAAATTTTATGACCCTTTAAATGCAAAAGGGAGGATTCCAATTTTTATACACCCACTAGCAAGCTTCGAGGATAAGGAACAATGAGCTCGAAGGCCCCTAAAGGAGGATTGGGATTTTGAAAGAAGGAAATAAGGCCTCATGCGGCTGGTCGTATGTAACAATTCGTTCCGATTTTATCGGAAAGAAGGAGGTATTTTCGTGAAATTTCACGTTGGCTAGATCTTTTTCTTTTGAAAATGGTTTTTGAATCTTAATTGGTGAACCCAAGGGGCCCATCTCCTGATTTGTGTCCCCCGGCCTTTTCCTATTCTCCCTCACTCTCCCTTATCGCTCCCTCTCGACTCCCTGCAACTCTTTCCTTCTCTCTTCCCCGAAAACACACACACACAGAGCAACCATCACCATCACCCCTGGACTGATCTCGAAATCCCTAAGCCAAGGGAGTGCTCCACCGTGGCAGTCACGGCGCTTAATCCCCCGACAAACTTTGGTGACTATCGAGGATTTTCCGAGGTAAGGAAGCTTCGAGACTCCTTTGATCTTCCTTCCTTGTAGTCTTTATTACTTGGTTAGTGATTAAAATGGCTTTGGTGAAGGTTTTAGCATGAAAAACAATGCATTTTCCAAAAATCTGGAAATTCCAGGCCGTGGTCATTTGGCCATCTTTCAGGGCCTTTTTCGGCCAACTTCGGCCACCACTCAGTCCCCACTTGGTATGAATCTCTTCTCCACATTCCTAACTACATTTTGGCTTTTGAATCACTCAATTTGGTTAAGTAATGAAGAAGTTACAAAACTTTGAAAATTCACCAAACCTTTGGCCAAAAACCCAGTTTTCCGATGAGCACCGCCTTTTTCGAGGCGTTTTCCGACCAAACCACGGCGATTTGGCCGGCGTGTAGGGTATCAATCTCTTCATCTCGTCAAGTACTACAACTTTCATTTTTATTTCACTAACAAATAATTTATGGGCGTTCGAAGTAGTGCCCAAAAACTGGCCAATTCATTGACCTGAAAACGGGTCAACCCGACCCAAGTTCTTTGAAACCAGCCCAACCCATGACCCTTTTAAGCCTAAACCCAATTAATTACCCCAGGCCCTTTTATCAACCCATTAACCTAGAAACCTAAAACCCTTTAGGCCTAAACCCCCTAGCCCATTTACCTAAACCCAACCCAATTTCCTAATTCTATAACCCAACCCAAAACCCTAAGTGAACTAAGGCCCTTGAGCCGTGTGAAGTATGGACCCAAGCTCAAAAACCCTAGGGCCCTTTGGCCCAAACCCTCCAGCCTATCAGACAGAGTATTTTAGAATATTCTTGCAATATTTTCTTGTGACTTTTGTTGACTTTTTAGAAATTTAATCGAGATCTTTCTTAAAGTAATTCGACGTCCTGAATTCATTTCCGACGTCCATTTTCTCAAATTCAATTGTTATAATATAGTTTTATTAATTGGAATCTTTATGTGCTTAGGGACAATTATTTGTGACGATTCTGTGTTCGCTAGTTTGCGTAGCTCATCGGCGGCTAAGTATCTGTGAATGAATCCCTTCAAAAAATGCATGTTTTAATAGTAGAAATGCATACATGAAAAACATGATTTAATGATTATGTTTTATGAAACCTTTTACGAGATTACATGCTTATTAAGGTTAGTTTGAATTATTACTATTTTTCCTATACCCATGTTCTTTATAGGATATCTAATGGATGACGATATAATATTTAGAACATGTTTCGAACACTTCTTTAGAGTATACATAATGGATGACTTTATACTATGAAGATGTTTTTCAATTATATATATGTTCAATGGTTTTGTACTTACCTATTGGTCCCTATTCCGCTACAGGACCAGGGATAGATTTTGTCACGGTGAGGGTACAATGTTGGCATAGAGCCTGAAGATGATTTTCCTCTGGCTATTAGTACAGGGACGGGGAACTGGCACGGGGCCTGAAGGTGATTTTCCACTGGCATTTGGCACAGAGACGGAGAGCTGGCATGGGGGCCTGGAGGGATATTGGACATTCACTAGTGATTACGATGTATATGAGTTATGTTTTGAAACATTGTGTGGCATGCTAGGTTTCGGAAAACCTATTTTTATCATGTTATATGTCCACTCATATTTGTTTTGCGCCTCATTCAGGACTTAGAATCGAGGTATACAATCCTGGCGTCAAGGCACTTCCGCATCGGCATCTTCAAGTCCTCTAGGTGTAGGACCCATTCTTTTATTCATCCAATTTTATATTATTTCTTTTAGTATTCTAGTTAGTTGTATGCTTTGAACATGTTCCTTCAATGCATATTTATTATATTTAAATTTATAAGTCTTATTTATTCCTTTATTCTCAGCATTTGCATTCAATAAATGGCTTTCATCACCCTCGGGTGTCGGCCATGACAGTGCCTATCTTGGTGTTCGTGGAATATCTGGATCGGGGACGTGTCACCATATAAAGGATCAGATAGTATTAATAATACGGTAGGTAACAATTGTTTGGTGCTTATCTAAACTACATATTAATAAAACTTGTTTGTCAACCAAAACTTCAGCAAATTACCACTTTAACCCGCTCACTAGAGCTGAACAAAAATAAAAAACGTGAACAATTTAGTAATTACGCCTAACCCAAATTTTACTATTTTTTATACTAACATCACAAGCATGTAAATATAGCATATCCTATTAAAAAATTAAAAAATAAATAAATAAATAAACTCCACTTTTCTCCTATTCCTTCTCTACATTCCCCACGTTCTCCTACCTTTTCTCTTCCCTTTCTTTATTTTTCTTTTTTTTTTTTGAGTTGTCATCCTTGCTTATTAATGATAAGTCGTAAAATAAAAAACAAATTTAGTTACACAAGTCGAGCGTGTGTGCCGATTGCTAGTTTGTACTAATGAAGGAGATAGGATCCTCACTAGATCCTCTTTGTGAGGATCCTGGGATCCTTTAATCTTGTCATTTCATCGTACATTGTGCGGTCAAAAATCATTTTAAATTATATTATTTAAAATTGAACACAAACAGTACCTGACGAAAATTGATCGCACGATGTACGATAAACGAATACGATTAAAGAATTCCTAAGATCCTCATAAAGATGATCCGGCAAGGATCCTATCTCCTAATGAAGCACTAGATACACTAAACTGGTCCCACCATTTAGTGCCCCTCACACCCGTTTATCTATTCCCTCCAAAACCTTCGTATAATTAGTTGGGTCACAATTCATGCTCAGTTTCTCTTTACTCCTGCGCATTGTGAAATCCTCATCCAATCCAAGTATTCCTTCTCTCTCTTTCTCCCTCTCCACGTCTGATCAACATCATGCACATACAAATAGAAAATCAGAGATGGCAATAAACACAGACCATGGTGTCCCCATTCAGACGTCCATGGTGGCAGATCAAACTAGAATCGGAGAGATGTTGGCTTTTTGTCCTGATGGTGGCAGTGGTTACGAGGAGGTTGAATTCCAAAAATTAACCCTCATCTATACGTTTCAGATTTCGAATTTAACCAAACTTAGAAAGAGATATGCAGTAACTCACCTGTAAAAACAAGTTTCTGCTTGTTAAGTGAGCGAGACCTAGTATGTAATTGGAGGTTGCTCTCGGAAAATTTAGAGGTTTTGAATTGGAATTTTGAAGGAAATTGAAGATGGTTATGGTGATGAAGAATCGACCCTGCAGTTGTGCATTTGGGCATTTGCGCGTCAAACCTCTCTACAGTTGTGCTAGACCTAATAACTCTTCACGACCTAAGGTGGGTGATAAACCATGGTGCTCATCTTCATTTGGAAAATGAAAGGTTTTAGGTTCGAATCTCGTGAATGGCGAATTCGATACCAAATTAGGTTGCCCATTGTGTGGCTTAGCAAAACTCCTCATCCCCTTAATGTAAAAATATCAATGTCCTAAAAAGAAAAAAGAGCAAGATCCCAAACAAACCTAGTCAATAATAAATCTAGACCAGGACATTCATAGTAGATCCTTACAAATAAAGCTAACTGAACAAGAATAACGAGTATCAAAATAAAAATTAACTAAATCTAAGCCAAGACTATAAGTTGCTAAACTGTCTATCACAAAATCCTTTTTTCTATAAACACGCACTTTCAAGTCATTAGTTAATAGCGGTTATTGAAGGTCAAAACATTCGGGTGTAAATTAAAAATTAAAAATTAGAACCTCCTAATTCATCTTAAAATTGACTCCAAACCAACTTCCTCTTGGTGTAAAGTGTTTCGGCCTTTTCCCTGCTACTGTACGGATCCAAATTTGAAGCTGAGTTGGGGTCGAACGTATCCAAATTGTACACCATCATTCCATACAATGATCAAAATTGGTGCTCTATTGATAAAAGAAACAAAATGGTGATCTGGGTC